CTCGCCCGGCTTTGCCATTGTATGGGATTGCCTTTGGCGATGGCCTGCCCAGCGGAAGGTTCACTAATGGCCGCACAATTGCTGACATAGTTGGTAAGTAATTGCTACTCTTATTACTATATTATATAAGATCATTGAAACTTGAGTCTAGGCTTTCATGAGGCGTGCTGGTTTAATTGTTTAAAGTTCATGTGGTTAAATCTTATGAAGTGCTAGAGAGGGGCGGAGGGGGGGAGGAAATTGGACGGTATGATATCCTAATTGTCAAGTTTTTTATTCATTTATGTGAGAATTTTGAATTTCATGTGGTTTAAGATTTTTATATTTTTTTTCATTTGAGGGATCTAGATATCAATCATGAGTATCATGCGCACTTGAATGTTTTCCATATTATCAAAAATCGTGCATCTATAATATTGTTGAATCAAGATCTGTCATCATGCGTAATGAATAGAACACGTAGATCGAGAGAGAGAAAGAGAGAAAGAGAGAAAGAAAGAGAGGGTGTTTGGGAGTAAATGAGGTATTTCCGTGCTCTTTGACCCATTTTATTTCAATTAAATAGTTGGTTTATGAGAAGGGGATCCAAAAGTCCATTTATACAAAATGACTCTCCTATTTATAGATGATAGGAGGACCAAAAATAAATTACAATATTATTCTTTTTTCTTAAAAGAACAGACCTTTTTGACGTGTTCGAATCTATAGCCCTTCTAATGTTTGTCTTTCGATAGCCCTTCAACTGATTGTTTGACTTTTAGTCTGCTGCGATTAGTAGAAATGAAATTTGATTCAGTCGGCCGTTTGTATGAAAAAATTATTAAGTGCGGATAACTCACGCAAAATTTGTGTGCGGTGTCCGATTTGGACCGTCAAAAACTTCCACCTTAAAAATAAAAAAAAATACAAAAATATATATATTTTGGTGGTCCAGATCGGACAGCGCCCGCAAATTTGCGTGTGGTGTCCGTACGCAATAAACGCTCGTTTGTATGGCCCCCACGGAGCGAGCAATTGGAGATTAGACATAACAAAAGGTCGGAGAGTAGTGAACCTGTAATTGCATCTTTACTCCGACCTATTTCCATTCGACTGGACCTCTCAGCTGCAGCTTTGTTAGATATTTATAAATACTAAATCTAATACTTATATTATAATATCATTAACTTATTCTTTTAAATTCTTTTATCAGTTACATTACTATTAACAATTAAGGGTCTCTTTAGGGCCGCTGAAGCTTATCCAGCTTCTGCTGATAAGCAGCTTATCCTGATAATCTGCTGATGAGCAGCTGATCCGGATAGGCTGTCTGACTGCTTAGTTTGTGCATTTGGAAAACAACTGATTCTAGAGAAATTACCATTCTACCCCTTTTTTGCGTCGAGGCAGACCGTAGAATAAAAACTTCAATAGAGCGAAGCTTCCTTCGGCAGAGGCGACAGAGCAGAGCTTTGGCAGAGGCAAACCGTAGCTTTGACGGAGGCAGAGCGAAGCTTTCTTCGGCGGAGGCAGAGCGGGTCTGGCACGAGGGATGGGCAGGCGCGTAAATGCTGCCCCAATCAGGCGTTCGAAACGCTAATCGCAGGTCGATACCCGCGATCGCGTTTTTTCCAAATCTGAACGTGATTTTCAAATAAGCTGCACAAACGCGCAAAACAAACTGTGCGGTGGCGTTTTTGAACGCCGCCACACTTATAAGCTCCTCTAAATGGGTGCCGGTGTAGATAGATAGCCAAGCGACCGATTGGCCTTTGGGAGGCTGCCGACCGACTGCTGGGAGGTGGCCGATCGAAGGGCGGGGGCGGTCAGCAAGCTGTTGGGAGGTGACAAAACAGAAGTTGGTGTTATGAAATTTAGGGCGAAGAAAAACAGGAATCGACACAAAATCAGAAGAAAAACATAGAGATTTAACGAGGTTCGGCAAAGATGCCTACATTCTCGGGAGCAGACAAAGATGCCTACATTCTCAGAAGCAAAACGACAAATTCACTATTTCAGAGGAGTTACATACCCATAGAGTTACACATATATCTATAGATAAAACCCACAAATAAATATACAAACACGCCATCGCTCGTCCCAGCCCACTAATCTAAGAGACACACATTTTCACACCAACAGACTCTCCTTTTCATTCCAGGAGGCACACCTCTCCATTTCAAGATACTTCAAATTTCATGGTATATGAGTCATATCTAACAATTCTCCACCTTTGCGAATATCCAACACTTTAAGAGAAAATCCCCACCTTGCAAATATCCAACCATTAGGAGAAAAAATTTCCACCTTGCGAATATTCAACCTCTTAGGAGAAAAATCTCCACCTTGCGAATATCCAATCCCTTAGGAGAAATACATCATGAAGTTTTTTTACACCGAAGTGGGTTGGGCAACCATGTCAACTAGCAACTGCAAACATTCAACAAGTTCAAGTAACGCAAAAACTTGTTGAAAATACCTGACTCGGTCAACTTTCCTACTGCATTTTTATCATATAATTTGACAGAGTGAACTCTATCTACAACTGTACTCCCTAACAGTTTATAGATATTACCATCAGGTTTCATAGCTCGCAGCGCCTTCAAAATTCTTTGTTGTGCCAACAAATATTTCACCCTTGTTTGCCACAATCCTAAGTTCCCTGTTTCATTGAATTTCATTATCTCAAATTTTGTACTAAACATTGTCATTTAAAATTAATCATGTAGCGAACTTTTCCTGCCTTGCGTCAAAGCAAATTCACATCGCTAAGAAAATCAAATAAATCTGAAATTTCCTATGTTCATTGTAGCAATTTTCCTGCAGTTTCTTGCGATTCGTGAATCAAATTTTTTCACACGAAGCACTTTTTCCATTCTCACAAAAATTCGACTGAAATACTGCGGACACCGACCAAACTCCACCCGTCGCAATTTCTCCTGCGACAAATTTGCAAACTCCGCTGGCTGAGCACCACTTGTCGCAACTGCACCTGCCGCAACTCCTGTGACAAACTTGCGAACTCCTCTGGCCGAGCACCACCTGTCGCCTGTCGCGACTGCACCTGCCGCAACTCCTCCTGCGACAAACTTGCGAAATTCTATGGGCGAGCACCACCTGTCGCAACTTCTGCGACAAACTTGTGAACTCCTCTGATCATAAACGCTCTTGTTCGCGATAACTGTACATGAACTCCTGTTCACGAAATCCACCTCGCCGAATGTCGCGAAAGTTTATGAAACTGGCGAACCCCGTCGTTGCTGCAGCTGAAGAATATTCACTTCTAGCCAAAGAGCCAAAGAAAGAAAATTTTCCCGTCTTCAGCCTAAAAAATCCAAAGGATTTTTTTTAGTACTTAACACTACTTACATTTTATGATTTTCTTAATATATAAGCAAATATAAATCATAATTACACAATAACTGCACGTCGCGTTTTTCTAAAAAAATTAACTACATAATTGTTTTTACATAATTGTTTTCTGACCACCTAAAATATGAAAAATGTAAAAAAAAAAAAAAACATAAATATTTTCTGAAGACAACTAAATTAACACAATTGTGGGTGGTGGCCGACTGATGGAGCTACATAATTGTTTTCTGACCATCTAAAATATGAAAAATGTAAAAAAAAAAAAAAAAAACATAAATAATTTCTGAAGACAACTAGATTAACACAATTGTGGGTGGTGGCCGACTGATGGAGCCAGCCGAAGTGGCAGCATGAGGAATTCTGGTTGTAGTTGGAGTGGCGGCCAACTGATATTTAGAGGGGTTTTGGAGGCCGACCCGTGGTCTGAGATTGTCGGCTGATTGGGTTGCTGACCAAAGGGGCGAGGCGGCCGATGGTACGGTGATCGGTTCGCCGTGTGAGGAAATTTAAGAGCATGCAGGATTTCGAGATGCCTTTTTTGTTGATTAGCAGAGAAGTTAAGTTGCCATTTTTGGAGATTTAAGATCGTGCGACTGTTTGGCAGGATGGGATGGTTTTAGGTAGGAGCGGGGCGAGAGGAGGAGAAAGATGGGAATTTTGGAGGTTTTGTTTGACGTGATCCCATCACGGTCTGCTATTCCAGATCTCACCCCTTTCGTTTTTGCAAGCCAATCAAATCTGCTTTTAGATGGAGGTTGTGTCCTGCGAGCTCCTATTATTCTTTTGTGCTTGTGTTATATTTTTGCAAATGATTAGGTGCAAGCTCGATTTTTAAATTAGTTTAATTGATTCTGAGGTGGCCGACTTAGTGCAGTGGTCGGCTCTCGTTGATAATTTGCATGCTACTTTTCTCTACCCTCGGATTTATCAAGATCCGAGCGGACATTTTTATTTATACAAACATGTTAATCATATGTATGGAACTCTTAAGTAGAATAAAATTGAATTCATAAACATTGAGAAATCTTTTGTTGTAACACTGAAATTTCATTAAAAACACCAAAGTTAAGCGTGCTTGCATGGGAGCACGTTTAGGACTGGTGGTCAATGTGGTAAAACTATGAGACCATTTCACCAAAATAGATAATACCTAAATGGGTGAGAGTTCGGGTTGTCACATATAGTGCGGTCATGGTAGTAACCCGTCTAGTCATGTTAATATTGTTAGCAAGACACATAGGAGATGTAAACCTTATGTCATTTAATTTTTATGTGGATTAACAATATTTACTGATTTGAGGTTTCTTCACACAACCACCAATTTCTCTTAAATATAAGCTCTTCAAATCATATTAAATAACATGCATAACAACATATAATTAATCACGTGACATAGTTATTGGAGCACTCTCTTTTAATTTTAGCCCAAGCATTTTAGAAGTTACGATGTCCCGTGAGAAGTATAAACCCTATAAAGAATTCGACTCTGATTAGATCACTGGCTTTAATAGCATTTAACAGAAGTTTGGAAAAAAATGATCTTCTAAGTTGGGCTTGATACATTAGGTATCCATCAAACCCATTTTCAACCTAAAAATGCTAGCTTGGCCTTCCATGAAAGGAGCAATCACTTGACATTTGTACAACAACATATATTTTGCTTATATTATATGGGATTTAATCCAATATATTTAAGTTTTACATACATCACTCCGAAATAATTCAAATCCTTAATGGGAAACACTTTAAAATTATTTTTAAGTCTATTTTTCCCTAGAAGACTAACACAATCTGAGTTAGTGGCACTTGCTATAAATTAAGAGTTGATGTCATCAAGGGTCGTGACTGACTTAAATTGGCAGCTGACAGTTACGACTGTCATTTTTGAAGGTGGTAGGTCACCAAAAGCTGTGGAAGAAAGTATTTTTTCCATTGTTGAGCACGGTAGTATTTCTCAATTTCAACCTCTGAAATATTTATATATATAAGTACAAAAATATTAAGGGATTGAAGCCCCTATTCATTTACTTAATTAGGCTTATAAGCTCCATGCTTATTTCAAACAAATTGAAAACCTTAGTCTTGGTTACATTCAATTTTTGTTAACACTTCTTTTTTATTGAAGGTGATAAAATGGGTCTCCCAAGGCCGCCACCTTTCCTTGATCCTTCACTAGATGAAGATACCATACTCAACCAAGGAGTCAATTATGCATCTGGAGGAGGTGGAATATTGAATGAGACCGCATCACTTTTTGTAAGCTTTAGTACACATTCTTAATTGAATCCTATCAAAATAAACTGAAACATTTGTAATAAAGAACTATAATTTTTTTTTGTGATGCAGATTCAAAGATATTCACTTTGGAAACAAATCGAACTGTTTAAAGGAACTCAAGAGATGATTAGAAGGAAGATTGGCAAGGAAGCCGCAAACACGTTCTTCCAGCAAGCTCGTTATGTTGTAGCTATGGGAAGCAATGACTACATAAATAACTTCCTCTTGCCTATTTACTCTGACTCGTGGAATTATAATGGAGAGACATTCACGAACTACCTCATAACTACACTTGAGAGCCAATTAAGAGTAAGTTTTTAATATAAACTACATTGATGCGGTATAGATATTACATATATTTAACATATTGTTTACATGCACTTCAATAATTGAAGTATATTCATTTCTTCGTATAATGTTTCTGTTGCATATAATGTAGGTTTTGCACTCGCTGGGAGTAAGGCAAATGACATTATTTGGTTTAGGCCCACTGGGTTGCATCCCTTTACAAAGGTTTTTTACTCCATCTGGGCAGTGCCAAGAGTCCACAAACAAGCTAGCTCTCCAGTTTAATAGCAAAGCTGTGAATCTTCTCGAGAACTTATCGAAAACTTTTCCAAATGTTACGTTTAAGTTTGGAGATGCTTATAATTCCTTTTATGATCTTATAAATCACCCAAAAAACTATGGTTGGTATATTCCTTCGAAGGTTATTAGATCAATTTCTAATGATTTGTTTATAATAAATAATCACTTTCTTGTTTGTAGGTTTTACCAACGTAACAGATCCTTGCTGCGCAACGGGAAACATAAGACCGGCTATCACATGCACGCCATTGTCCAACTTGTGCAAAGACAGAACCAAGTATGTGTTCTGGGATGAGTATCACCCCACAGATAGAGCAAATGCATTTATAGCTTACTCGTTCCTCAAAATGCTGGGAATTAAACAGAAGCCAATCAACGGAACACATTAATAGTTCATAACATGAGAAAATCTTGACATATACTTCTCTACTAGCAGGACTCTGAATTTCTTACTTACTGCAGCATAAGTATTGCTCAAAATATTTTTTAGTGAGCTTAGTTCAAGAAATTTTCACGTTTGTATTTAATATTACGCATAGAAGGGCTCAAGGGTGTATGTAATAATATTGAGAACACAACTACTTCTTGAGTAAATGATAACATAGCTCAGATATTGTAATAAATTATATTTTTCTTGCTTTTTATTTGTTATTTGATTTTGAAAGTAAAATTTAGAACTGTAATTCACGTCATTCTATATAAATTTTGTCCAAGTCTTTCTGTTCAATTAGAGATGCTGACCACAAATTTCATGGGAGGTATGCTTGAGGTCAATGTATCTCAGTCTTTTTTATCGGTGTGAAATCGGGTTTGTAGGTTCCGTCCCATCCAACCCAAATTTGTCCCGGCGTGAAACTACTTAACATGAACTGATTCAAATATTAAACATGCTTTCAATCCAACCAACTAGAATCCGACCTACATAACCAGTTTAATATATATATATATATATATATATATATATATATGCACTGGGTGTAGGTGAGTTGGCGGCGGCTCGAATTTGAACATGGGGATTGGTTGAGGGTCCGTCCTTCGGCCAATCCTTTTAGGAAAAAAATAATTTGGGTAAAAATTGGGTTGGCATGCCAAATTCCTGTTGACAATTTAAATTTGGGTTCGGGTCTGACCCAAATGTGATCTGAACTACTTAGTATGAATCCCACTTAAATATTAAACATGAATCTAATTAACTTGAATTCGACCAACATAACTCATTTAATATATGCATAATAGTTATGGGTTAATTTTGAGTAAAATTTGTAGTGGTGAGTAAGATTCGAGTTGACAGTTTATATTCAGAATGCCGGGTCAATCAAAACCAGCCCAAAAAATTAAATGTGTTTGCATTTTTAACCCAAACCTAGCTCAGAAATTAATCAGGCCAATTGTTTACACCCTTAATTGCTCCCGAATTATTTATCACTTGATAGTGACTAGATGCTAGAGGGGCAAGTTGGGTCCTGTAAAAATGATAATCAAGTTAGTTTGCAGTTGAAATATGAACTTATAAGTAAGGACAAATTATTAGTGTAGTTATAGAAGAAAATTTGAATTTATATGAACCACAGTAGCAAAGAATAGATAAATGTAACAAATTTTTATTTTATTGGCCAAATATATCTAAAAGTTTGTTTCGGATTAAAATACCCTACTTTTGAATCAAGAGATGTTTATTTAAAAATAAGTTTGAATAAGATTTGTGTTATATATTGGCAAGGTTTGTGTCTATATTTGAACCTTGTTTTAAAAAAATTCAAATATTATTTGAATCATGCTCCAATATAATTTGTACATGGTTTAAATATGGATGAAAAAAAGAGCAAAGTTTGAACATGGGTTTACCATAGTATGAATATGGTTAGAACAAGATTCAATAAGATGTGAATATAAATTATAATGCAATTTTTTTTATAAAATTGATGCAATTAATATGATAATTACAATTGAAATGACATATTATCAAATGGAGCAGGCATAACACAATAAAATACTTTTTAAAAGATATAACACTACATATATAGCACAATATAATTCAATTGTTCAATTTTGTAGACTATTACACAAAGAACATAATATACGTAAGCCGAGAACACAGACAGGTGAATGTATAGACTGTGAATGTGAAAATTTATTCCCATATTTCTCAGAATAAGCAAGAAGAAGAATAATACCATATAAAGATTTTACACACACGCAAACACACACACTTTCACAAAAGTATTTGAGATTATATTGTTTTGTATTATCCATTTGTAGTAGATAAATAGTCTAGATTGACTGTTGTTGTACGTAATGGGCTCGGTTATGTTTGTTACAATTGATTTTAGACTGTTGTTATCTTGTTAGAAGTTGATGGTTCATAACAAGAATATCAACTTGTCACAAATATATTGAATTTTGGAGGTAGATATAATGATTTAGTAAATATGTCTGAGATATGATCATGAGAGGAGCATGGCATTTATAGTTCAAGTTTTAATGCAGTTTCAAATAAAATGATAGTCATCGATTTTGATATGCTTAGTACAGGCATGAAATATTGAATTATTTGCAAGTGCTAAAGACACCATATTATACTAATAGAGCACGGTGGGTTGTTGAACACGTGAAGCTCTTGAAATTGATAGTAAATTTAAGTAATTTCAATGGCGACAATGACAAGATAATGACATTTTTCTTTTATTGAGGGCCAATTGATTATTGCTTGCTATTTGACTGCTTAGGATACTAGGCTATTGCTCAAGAATATGCAATAGCTAATCATAGATTTGCAATCTTCAATGTCACTTACCCAACCAAAATTAGAGTAGGTTTGAAGATATAGATTAATCTTTGTGATGGGGAGAACAAAATAAATGGTGCCTTGAATATTGAAAAGCACCCTTTGGAGAAATTAATATTGAGTAGGGGTGGTCTATGTATCTGTTGACAAGTTTTGTTGACAACAAATAAAAAATCAGGATGATTAATAGCTAGGTACCAGCACAATTTCATTAGGTGTCAATACACGTGGGTTAAAAAAAATCAAAATTTGAAGAAATGATAGACACTATTATTATTATTATTATTATTATGATGTTTTGGGATTATGGATAGATTTGCAAGAGATCATAATGGCTCTTTTGAGTTTAAGAAGCATAGATATTTATTCAAATGAAGATCTTAGTGTGTATGACTTATTTTGATGTCAGCGAAGTGATGACTTTCTCCCAGGTTACTCACATTTAGTTTTTGTTTGAGGGTGGATATGAGTTTTGTAAATAATATGTCATCCACGTAAATAAGAAAAAAATATGTAAATATGATATTAATCATAAAGCATGAGTGAGGCTAGGGTGTCAAAAATTAACTAGAAACATTAGTATGAATCAAACATCCCCACTTGAAAAGTTTTGAGTTCGAGTTAACTCGATTAATTTTTTGGGTCAAATTCAGTTGCAAAAATATTTTGGGTTGATCAACCAACCTGATTTTGACTCGCTAAACCAAATTTAACCTAAACTTGACTTAAAATTGAGCAAAATTTAAGCCAAATTTTATTTTATACGTATGTTAAACAGGCTATGTGGGTCAGATTGAAGGTCAGTTGATTTTGGGTTAGAAATTTTGAATTATTTAATATTTATATCAAGTTTGAGACAAAATAGTTTCAGGTCGGGTTATTTTTGAGTCACACATAATTACGATATGCTAACCCGATTTGATACCCCTAAGTGAGGGGTCAACTGAAATGAAATGAAAGTCAAAATTAAGGAGTTTTGAGAGAGTGGCATATCAATCTCATGGTTCTTGTTTGAGTATATAGAGAGCTTTCAGATGATGTATAAATAATTACGATGAATTAGGTCAATGAATCCCTTTGATTGTTGCATATACACATTGTTGTGGAGCTTTCCATCAAGAAAAACAACTAGAAATGTCAAGTTTAGTGATGTATGATGAGTTGAAAAGAGCAAATGTAAGTATTATTTTCATTTTACCAACCAAACTAAATGTATTTGTGTAATTATGACCCCATTCCCATTTGAAGCCTTTAGCTTATACAAGGATTGCCTTATAGCAAACAACAAAGCCATCATGATGGAATTAGAGTCCATGTTTCTTGAGCATGATGTACTTGAAATTTATGATACAGGGCTTTGAATCAACATTCAAATTTATCAATTGTGGAGAAGAAATTAAGCTCTAGAAGTAATGCAACAATGTGGTGTAAATTAAGGATTTTCTTTGGTTTGAGAGTACATGTTTCCTCATTGTGAGCATTGGATATTTGGATGGTTGTGAAGTTGGTAGTGAGATTGAAGAAAGATTTTTAGATTAGTGTGTAGATGATGGATGAAGGAGTTTTGATAAAGAGATGAATTAAAGGGGATGAGAGAGTGGAAGATGATATGTGAATTGGTTATTGTTTAGAAGAAATATCAACAAGAGTATTGATTAGTTCACTAATAGATTTAAGTGGTGAATGGGTGGATAAAAGAATGAAAGTGAGGGGAGACATATGAGTAGGGGCATATGACTGGTTTCTTAAGAGGGGTGGAGTTTTATATAGAAAAAATAAACTCATGGAAAATAACATGGTGGTTGCTAACAGAGGAATAGTGAAATTTATAACCTTTTTAATTAAGTGATAACCAATGAAAACAAATTGGTTGATATTATAGAGAATTTATTTTTATAGTAATGGTGAAGCCATGGATAATAAGAACAACAAATGTTTCTAGATAAGTATAGCTTGATGATTGATTGTTGAGTAACTAATATGGGATAAATGTTTAGTCATTGGTGAGGATAACCTGTCAATGAGATAAATGATAGTAAGCAATGTCTCTACTCCATAGAGAAAACAAAAGTTGAACTTCAAGAAGTATGATGTGTGTAATTTCAAGAATGTGTCGATGCTTCTATTAAACAACACTATTTTATTTAGAAGTAGCTGAGCAACTTTGTTGATGCGGTATTCTGTATTAAGTGGAAAATTTTCTTAGAGAATATTTGTATATTCTCCTTCATCATCAAAGTGGATGATCTTTATAGATTTAGTTCTTTGATATTCAACCATTTTTTTATAATTTATAAATATTGATGCTAAGTCAGATTTATTTTTCATAGGAAACATCTGACAAAAATGCGAAAAAGTTTCTATAAAGGAAACACAATATTTATAGACTTTATTTGAAGTGTGTTGGCATCAATTTATTTGTTGTCACATGAGAGCGGTGTCTGCCTAAAAATTGGCAATATGCTTAGTTTCCCTTTAATTGAGACATCCATCAGACCTCCCAGTATGTGCCACGAGCACGAAACCAGGACCGATATTGATTTGCACCTGCCTGGGAAAATTCACCGTGAGGTGGTACTAGTCCTAAATTTGGACATGTTTTATGTCTTTTTTGATGTTGATAAACTCAGATCCTGAGTTTTTTGAGGTCAAGGGTAGTCGTCGAGATCTCCCACGCACATTTTGGGAAAATTTGGGTTGAGACTGATTTTACCACTACAGGGGTCTAGGGCCTCCTTCGGCACCAAAAACCTCTGTTTGAAACTCTTTCAATGTTCAATTTTGAGTTAAAAGGTTTTTTATGGTAATGCACAACTTTCCGTGGCTTCTAGACCG